GGACCCTTACCCTCAACCCCCCTCCCTCCACTCCTCCACCCTACCCTCATCCCTAGACCCTTACCCTCAACCCTGGACCCTTACCCTCAACCCTGGACCCTTACCCCCCTCCAACCCTTACCCTCATCCCTCCACCCCTACCCTCATCCCTAGACCCTTACCCTGGACCCTTACCCTCAACCCTGGATCCTAACCCCCCTCCCTCCACCCCTACCCTCATCCCTAGACCCCTACCCTCAACCCTGGACCCTTACCCCCCTCCCTCCCCCCTACCCTCATCCCTAGACCCTTACCCTCATCCCTAGACCCTTACCCTCATCCCTAGACCCTTACCCTCAACCCTGGACCCTTACCCTCATCCCTGGACCCTTACCCTCAACCCTGGACCCTTACCCCCCTCCAACCCTTACCCTCATCCCTCCACCCCTACCCTCATCCCTCCACCCCTACCCTCATCCCTAGACCCCTACCCTCAACCCTGGACCCTTACCCCCCCTCCCTCCACCTCTAGCCTCATCCCTAGACCCTTACCCTCAACCCTGGACCCTAACCCCCCTACACCCTTACCCTCCTCGACCCTAACCCCCCTCCCTGGACCCTAACCCCTCCCTCCACCTCTAGCCTCATCCCTAGACCCTTACCCTCAACCCTGGACCCTAAACCCCCCTACACCCTTACCCTCCTCGACCCTAACCCCCCTCCCTGGACCCTTACCCCCCTCCCTCCACCTCTAGCCTCATCCCTAGACCCTTACCCTGGACCCTAACCCCCCTACACCCTTACCCTCCTCGACCCTAACCCCCTCCCTCCACCTCTAGCCTCATCCCTAGACCCTTACCCTCAACCCTGGACCCTAACCCCCCTACACCCTTACCCTCCTCGACCCTAACCCCCCTCCCTGGACCCTAACCCCCTCCCTCCCTCCTCCCTTAGGGGTAAGGATGAAGACGCTCCAGCAGCTGTTGGAGAGGAGTTTGATTGCAGACATGTTTTTAGTGATATTTCATCGTGATGTTTCTGTCTCTCTTCAGGTCAGCTGAACTACCTGGGCTCCAGTCACCAGGTGTGGCACCTGCTGCTGGTTCTCATGTTTTATTGGTGGCACCAGTCGTCCTGTTTCATCATGGCGTACAGACACAGCCAGCCCTGCCCAAACGCGCCCCAACATGCCTGATACGCACTCTGCTCCTCGCGCTGTCTGACAGTAAGCACGTCTTTTCATTTCTCTGTCTTTGATGTTTCTGGGACAAACGTTGTGTCGGCCTTGTAGATAAACGTAAATATCGTCACACTTAAGGCTGTTAAATTAGAAAATAGAAAGAGTGACCTTTCACCCCCGCTCTGTTAAAGTTCCCGTGAATTATCTGCTGTTTTAACGCCTTGTGTTTCTGTCTCTAGGTCGGCGATTGGCTGCAGAGTTTCCCATCATGCACTGATGTAGCACTCCGTGATCTCTCTGAGCGTTTCTCTCTCTCTCTCCGCTGCTCGAGGCTTCGGTCCACCTGAGGATCTGACCTCTGACCTGCAGGCTGAGCGGGAACACTGTCGACTGTTCTTCAGACTCTGAACACTGAAAGTCTGCAGAGCGACAGACGTCATAATCAGCTGCAGGGTTTGATCAGCTGACGCATCATGACGCTCTTCTTCTTAAATCAGCTGAACGTAAATGTGTCTGAAACACTAAACAGTTTTTAATGTTTATAAATATTTAAGTCCCTCCTCAGTCTGTGTCATGTACAATCAGTTTTAGTGTTGATCTTTCTTTTATTTTGAAAGGACACTGAACATAAATACAAGCTCTCGCTCTTCATCAGCTGATATCTCAAATGGCACATTTCAGAGAACGATCAGGACGGAGGAACAGTTACTCAGTATTAAGAGAAATGAGACGAGTAGTCCGAGGATCTTATTTGTGTTCAGTGAGTCGTGTTTGTGTCGTCCTCGTAGATAAGTAGATGCGATGTGTCTACACGGTCACCATCTTAAAGAGGGCTCACTGCAGCTCTTAGCAGGAGGTCTGTCCACCATGTACAGAAAGTATTAGGGGAAAATACAAATCCGCTGTTTCATTATTAACTTCAAAGTTTGAGAAGAAATCTTTTTTTATGAATTAAAGACATAAATTATCTCAATAACGAGACGTATGACTTTTTTAAGAGCGGGTAGATACTAACTGGGTCTACGTCTGGGTACCCTCTGGGTCTACGTCTGGGTACCAACTGGGTCTACGTCTGGGTACCCTCTGGGTCTACATCTCGGACATTCTGGGCCTACGTCTGGGTACCAACTGGGTCTACGTCTGGGTACCCTCTGGGTCCCTCTGGGTCTACATCTCGGACATTCTGGGCCTACGTCTGGGTACCAACTGGGTCTACGTGTGGGTACCTTCTGGGTCTACGTCTGGGTACCCACTGGGTATAAGTATGGGTACCTCTGGGTCTACGTGTGGGTCCCTCTGGGTCTACGTCTGGGTACCAACTGGGTCTACGTATGGGTACCTCTGGGTCTACGTGTGGGTCCCCTCTTGAGTCTACGTCCGGGTCTACGTCTGGGTACCACCTGGGTCTAAATCTGGGTACCTTTTTTTTTTTTTTTTTTTTTAACCAGAATCCCACTGTGACATCACAAGCAGAACACATTTGAAACAGAGCATTGTTCTGTGTTGTAAGACTTATGCAGACCACAAACAAAGGACTGGATGGTTTATTTCACATGTTGTGGGTCAGTAGACTCTCAGGTTACTCAAATATAAAAAACACTGTAGAAGTTTATCATATGTCCCCTAAAGTTTGATAAACACAAACGTGGACTTGTGATCTGATGTGACGTTTTATTTCTTCTCAGAACAGAATGTGTCGAGTTATTAATAAAAAAGAAAGTGAACAGTTAGAAAACAGGAAACAGTTAAAGCCTAAAATTTAAAAGAGCAGATTAAATCCATCCCTTTCTATTCAAAGAGTCAAAACAAAAACCCGCCACACGGGGGCAGTGTGGAGACGGCCGTCTGCATAGAGAACGTCTAAAAGGACAAAGTGGTTAACGACTCCTCCGACGCCATGACGACGAGGTGCTGTGCAGAGAGGGGCGGGGCCCAGCTCAGGTAAGGCTTCATGGTGCTAAAAAACAGAAGGCAGCTTTAAGGAGAGAAGCGCTCGAACGTCGGATGTTCAGACGTCTTCATGATGCAGCATTAAAAGGCGTTCAGCAGACAGATATGTGGTCGCGATTACAGGAAGTCACCGTTTAGTCGCCGAGCGGCGTGTTAAGAGTTAGGCTGTTAGCTCGTCCTCTCATGATTGGCTGACGACGTTTCCTTCAGGTTACCCCGTCACTGGAAGATTCTATTAGAGTTACTGTTTGGAGGGAAACGGAGCCGCTCCAAACGGGTCGAGATCCACTGGCTGTGTGGGCGGAGCCTGCTGAGGTCCACCGCCGTCGACCATCTCTGTGAAGGGCACCGCCCCGAAATCATCCATCGCTTTACCCTCCTCCAAGGTGGAATGAAAAGACCCACTCCAGGACTTGTTTTTGGCGTCGTCGCTCCGGGTCTCTGGGATTCCTTGGTAGCGGCCGGCGTCCTGCGGGTGGAACGGTTTGGCTCCAAACGGGTCGAGCAGAGGGTCGTCGACCTGCAGGGCGGCTCCTTGGTCCATGGTGATATCCACGCCGATGTTCTCCTTCGAGTCAGACGTGCTCAGGAACTCGTTGCTGCTCTGCGAGTCTTTGCGTCCGACCTTCTTGTTTCTGCGGACCCGCTCTGGCGTGCGGTACGTGGCCTTGTTGCTCTTGCGTCCTCCGGTCGGCGTGCTGTGGTGGCGTTTCCCGTTGCTGCCACCCGCCGCCGGCTCCTGTTTGGTTTTCCTCTGACGCGACGAGAGCTTCTGGAGGCTGCGCTGCTTCAGCCTCTGCTGCTGAGGACTCGAGGACTCGTCGTGGGACGGCCGGAAAATGTCTTCGGCGCTTCTGGACGTGGTGGGCGGGGCGTCTGTCGGGCCGGGATGAAAGGGAGAGAAGCCAAAGATGTCGATGCTTTCAGGAGAAATGGGCGGAGTCTGTCCCATGGTGATGTCTCCTCCACTCCGATTTCTGGTGAACGGAGCTTTCGTGAAAACGTCGAACTCGTCCGCAGCTCGCCGCTCCAGACTCACCTGTCTGAACGGGGCTTTGGAAAAGATGTCCAAGTTCTCCGCGGGTCTCTCGGGTGAAGCTCCTCCCACAAAGGGAACCGCACCAAACACATCCACAGCAGCCCCCTGAGCAGGAGCAGCTCGCCCCCTGCTGGGCGACTGAGGAGGAGTGATCATCCCTGACTCCTGAGGGCTCCCCCTGGTGGCCGCTTTACCTGCTGCGGCGGCTTTCTTTGAGCGAGTCTTGGCCCGGCCGCGCTCGCAGTCTGACTCTGAGCTGGGCTTGTCTTCGTCTTCCTCCTCTTCAGAGTCCATCAGCAGGGGGCGCTGTCCTGAAATCTCCGGCTCTGTGTCCTCACCGTGCTCGCTGTTCAGGCCTTCGTCCTCCTCCTGCTCCTCGTCCTCGCTGCTCTTAGGAGAAGGAGGGTCGGATTCAAAGTCGCTGTCAGACTCGTCTCCCACTCGGCTCTTCTTTCCCGATCGCGGCTCTTTAGCGTCTGCAGGGTTTGATTCAGGAGCAGGAACGCCGACGTCCTCATTGGTCGGCTCGTTCTTCATCACTTCAGGATCTGCAGGAAACAAAACACAGATATAGAAATGTTAATCAAACAGAAAAAAAAACATCCTTTAAGTCCCTAACAGGCTCGTCACGATACCAAGAATATAAGACTTAGTGTCTGTGAGTGTGTGTGTGTGCGTCTGTCTGTCTGTGTGTCTTCTTGATGTGAATTTCAAGTTTTGCTCTTAGCCCCGCCCCCCTCCTGATGATTCAAGTTAAAATAAATCAGAGTGACAGAAGGACGAGTTTTCATCCCCTCGCACGGCGTCTGTAATCAGGATTACGTTTGGACGCCCTCAAAGTGAAGCAGAAGGAGCGCTGAAATGTGTAAAAGCTGCTCGGGCGTCTCCGCTCTGACCACAGGATAAGACGGCGAGGTTTACAGGACGGAGAGATGAGATCCATAAAGTTATGTTTTAATCTGCTGATTGAAAAGATTTTCTCTGTTCATGAAGAATAAATCTTTGTTCTCGTAAACTCTGAGACTTATTTGGACTTTAAGCGATAAATTTGTGTGAATTTAATTCCAAGAAATTTGCATAAAATCGACTTTGAAACGAGCCTAATTAGCACATGGATAGTCTCCAATTACAAGAAGAAATAGTTCCATTCACAACGAGCCAGCTGCATTGTTCCCCATCAGAGGAGGCTCCGCCCCCCCGCTGTGAACGCTGAAACCTCTCCGTGTTTACAACCGTCCAAACTGGCACGAAGAGACTCGTGATTCGCCAACAGCTCGAGATTAAACGAGCTGCGTTAAAGTGTTCGGAATAATGCAGAGATCCCCGATAACACTTAATGTACCTGTGTGGGTGTGTAGGTGTGTGTGTGTGTGCGTTTCTGTGTCTGTGAGTGTGTGTGTGTTTCTGTGTGTGTGAGCGCCTGTGTTTGTGAGTGTGTGCGTGTCTGTGTGTAGGTGTGTGTGTGTATCTGTGTGTGAGAGTGTGTTTGCTTGTGTGTATAGGTGTGTGTGAGTGTCTGTGCATGTTTGTGTGCGTGTGCCTGTGTGTGTAGATGTGTGTGTGTGTCTCTGTGTCTGTGTTTAATCAGGACGAGACGACAGACTGGCGCTCTGATCTGCGTGTTCTGACGGATTACACGCTGACTCTGATCTCTTTAAGACACAAATAAGTGATAAAAACACAACTGTGATTGTTCTCTGTCCGGATGGAAATGAAGAAAGAGAGGTCAGAGGTCGCAGAAAAACCTGCTCAACAGTCGGGCTGAATCCGCAGAGACACAAATGTGTAGAAGGCCGAGAAAGAAAACGAAAGACTGCTCTTTTTTTATCCCAAAGAATACATCGTTTCCTCTTCATGTAAATCTTTAAAAGGGTCATTAGGGAAGTGTAGGTGTGGTTAATATCTCAGGCTGTGGGGGAGGGGCCTAATGTGAGATCTGTTCATGGGGACCAGATAAATCGTGGAGGCCCTCCTGCTGATTATTACTATTTAAATCCTAAATGTTTATTAAAAAGTGTGTTTATATTTCAGTTTAATTCTACTTAATGAAGCGTTCATGATGTGGATATGAGGAGGACTTAACTGATCTACAGACGAGACAAAGTCGGTGCATTGTTTACTCTGGACTTTTCTGCATTTACTTTGGACTTGTTTTGGGACTCACCTGTTTTCACTTTGGACTTGATCTTGGACCTGCCTGTCTTGGGACTTGACTCTGGACTTTCCTTGTCATTACTGGGGACCTGATTTGAGCCCGTCTTTACTTAGGCAAGTCCTGACTGACCAGAGATAGTGTCTGTCTTTAGTCAGGACTTGATTTGGGACTTGACTCGGGACTTGCCTGTCTTTATCTGGAACTTGACTCAGGACTTGCCTGTCTTTATCTGGGACTTGACTCGGGACTTGCCTGTCTTTATCTGGGACTTGACTCGGGACTTGCCTGTCTTTATCTTGGACTTGACTCGGGACTTGCAGTCTTTATCTGGGACTTGACTCGGGACTTGCCTGTCTTTATCTTGGACTTGACTCGGGACTTGCCTGTCTTTATCTTGGACTTGACTCGGGACTTGCCTGTCTTTATCTGGGACTTGACTCGGGACTTGTCTGTCTTCATCTGGGACTTGACTCGGGACTTGTCTGTCTTCATCTGGGACTTGACTCGGGACTTGCGTGTCTTTATCTGGGACTTGACTGATTTGACTCCGGACTTGTCTGTCTTTATCTGGGACTTGACTCGGGACTTGTCTGTATTTATCTTGGACTTGACTCGGGACTTGCAGTCTTTATCTGGGACTTGACTCTGGACTTGCCTGTCTTTATCTGGGACTTGACTCGGGACTTGCCCGTCTTTATCTGGAACTTGACTCGGGACTTGCCTGTCTTTATCTTGGACTTGACTCGGGACTTGCCTGTATTTATCTGGGACTTGACTCGGGACTTGCTTGTCTTTATCTGGGACTTGACTGATTTGACTCCGGACTTGCCTGTCTTTATCTGGGACTTGACTCGGGATTTGCTTGTCTTTATCTGGGACTTGACTCGGGATTTGCTTGTCTTTATCTTGGACTTGACTCGGGACTTGCCTGTCTTTTTCTGGGACTTGACTCAGGACTTTAGACAAAGACTTGGGACTTAATTGTAACCTGTAAACATTGACTTTGTCCCAGCTCTTGTTTGAAGGTGCAGGATCAGATTTTTTGTTTTAAGATTCTAGTCGCGATAATTTTTATTTTACCTAAAAACAATCTTTTTGCAATGAGCTTTGATCGCCTGTTAGTGCGGCTTCTAATCCTGTTCAGACTGGTTTATTTTACAGTGAAACATTAAATGTGATAGTCAGAGGTCAGACAGAGACGGCCATGTTGGTCAGGAACATCTGGTGTGAGGTGGTGGAGAGATTTTAAACTGGATTAAAAATAAAGAACCGAAGTGAATCTTTGATTTGAAAGCGTTTTTATTTCTCAGTAACATTCGATAAAGAGAATACATTCACACCGACAGGATGATACAGGAGCTGATACACAAACAAAACCAGACATCTTCATCCGCCCCGGATCCGTCTGCACGAGCCCAAAGTACACAGACTAACCACAGACTCATCGTGTGGGAGTCAAAAAGGGTCCCAAAGTTTCATGATGAAGATGAATCCAAAAGAAAACATAAAATGCATCAGATTCATGTCTGTCTGCTCGTTTGGGATTTCTGTCCCAACACTGCAGCTTCATTGGCTCGCTCGTCCCTTTCTCTCTATCATTGTTTTTATTTGGCTTTAAAGTTGAATTAATCAGAGTAATAAAAATCCTTCCACCAGAACACATCAGATGTTTGTGACTCGGCCGTCTGCACATGAAAAAACACACAAAAATAAAAAACTGAACTGAGTGAAGCCGTGAACTGATGAAAACTTACCTGCAACTAAAACACTCATGTTTACTTAACCGGATGAATGTGTGTGTGTAATCTAGACAGTGTGACGGGGTTTTCCTGCACACACACACACACATACAGATGACGCTCTGACATCACACACACACACACACACACAAAGCTTTACGGCCGATCAGAAATCAGTCGGTGCTGATTCTTTCATGCCGGCCTGCAGGAATTAGACGGAGCCCAGACTGTCTGGGTGTAAAATACAAAAAAGTCCCTTCAACCTTGTTTGGTTCCTTTTTTTGTTTTGTCCCAACAGAAGACATTTTACATTTCCCCACGCCGACATTCAAGTGCTCGGAGGTTCTATTGCATCTTTACGTTGTTTGAGTCGAACATCTATCTCTAACTTATCTAAGATTCTAACGTCGTCTCAGCTTGTCTTTAAATCTCTCGATCTCGTAAAAACTTTAATCTAATGTAACAGACGATTCTGGAACTAATGACACAGAAGATTATTGCTGCTATCAACGTTACTGATAAAGCACCAAGAGGCAGTGGCGGTGTGTGTGTGTGTATTACAATATGACCCCATGGCTGAATCAATATGAACGTATAAAGACGTGATGGCAGCTGAGTTTATAGATACTGCGTCTGAAAAGGGCTAAAGTGTGTGTGTGTGTGTGAGTGTCTCTGGTGATCTGACCCCTGACCCGCGTCTGATATCTGTGGATTGATTCACACCTGCCTCCAACACCAGCAGCTGTCTCACCTGCACACTGACACACAAACACACACCTGACGCTTCATTGGTTTAAGAAAGGTGAGGGGGGACGTGGGGGAGGGGGGAGCGGGAGGGGGGGGTCAAAGGGGGCTCCACAGTGCTGGGTCCTGCAGCAGGGACTCCTTTAAGACTTGCCTGTGCTCGCCACAAACGGGGCCGAGCCGAACAGGTCCTCAGGGGGGAGGGGCTTAGTCTGCAGGGGGCGGTCCGTTTCCACACTGGCTGCTCGCTCCACAGGTTTGTCTGTGTGGGTGGGAGAGAGACAGAGAGAGAGAGAGAGAGAGAGAGAGAGAGAGAGACAGAGAGAGAGAGAGAGAGAGAGAGACAGAGACAGAGACAGAGACAGAGAGAGAGAGAGAGAGAGAGAGAGAGAGAGAGAGAGAGAGAGAGAGAGAGAGAGAGAGAGAGAGAGAGAGAGAGAGAGAGAGAGAGAGAGAGAGCGAGAGGGGGTTAGACCATGGACATGGAGCTGAAACATTGTTCTAACATCACACAAACAAACAAGGAGGTGAAAATGATTGACAGGTCACTTGCTTGCTCTGAGCAGGTCAAACTCGCGGTCGATCAGTTCCTCCTCGGTCAGCTTGGAGAAGTTGTCCTCTCCAAACGGGTTCCAGTGCGACATGTCGGGGGGGTTACTGAGCGCGCCGCAGCTCTGAGAGGGGGGGGAGACCCCGTCTGAGGCCAGCAGGGAGTTCCTACTGCAGAGACACGAGGACAGAGATGACATCATACAGGTGAGACTTGCATTAATAATATCCACATCATGATGTATATGTTGACCTTTGACCTCTGTCAACAGCAGAGAAAAATCTCAATGCGAGCCGTTTACTGACGAGCCTGAGATTTGAGTCAACAGCTCGTCAAAGCACACTTCAGTTGGTATACCTTCAAAATAAAAGCACCACACTTCTGTCTGTCCACTTTCAAAATAAAAGCATCACACTTCAGTTTGTCTACCTTCAAAATAAAAGCACAACACTTCAGTTTGTCCGCCTTCAGAATAAAGGCACCACAGAGCAGAGAAGCAAATAATTCAAGGATGCAGGGTGGACAGCTGGAGCACTCGGTTCCTGGTCCCTAAAGGTTCCTCCCATGATCAACCAATAGGACCAGATGTTCAGGAGACCTTACCTGGAGTTAGTGTATGATGGATCCACAGGTGACGGCCCCCGATCTGCACAGGTGACGGCCCCCAACCAGCACAGGTGACGGCCCCCCCACCAGCACAGGTGCAGCAGCAGGTCCAGTAGAGGGCGTGGTGGAGCTAAAGGAGCCCAGCGGGATCTGAAACTCGAGGGGGGAGGACATGTAGGGGAGCGTCTGCTGAGCCGCAGGAGGAGGAGGAGGATGTTGTTGATGATGATGTTGTTGTTGATGTTGTTGTTGTTGATGTTGCACAAAAGCCTGTTGGTACTGGTGCAGCTGTGGGGGGAGGCAGAGAGGGAGAAGAGGGAGGGGGGGGATGAGGGAGGATCTTTGATTTTATGGTTCACAGTGAATCAGAAAGATGAATGTTGTTAGAAATCAGTTCTGGGTTTGGAGAGCTGAAGGGGGGGGGTCACAGTGAGGGGAGAGGAGGGGGGGTCACAGTGAGGGGAGAGGAGGGGGTCACAGTGAGGGGAGGGGAGGGGGAGGGGAGGGGGTCACAGTGAGGGGAGGGGAGAGGGTCACAGTTAGGGGAGGGGAGGGGGGGTCACAGTGAGGGGAGAGGAGGGGGGGGGTCACAGTGAGGGGAGGGGTGTCAAACAGACGAAAGAACAAACTGAAAAACATGAATCTCCTCTATAACGATCGATCTCAATCTGAAACTCAATCTTAATCTGAAACTCGATCTTAATCTTAAAGTCGATCTTAATCTTAAAGTCAATCTTGCTCGGCCTCCTTTAACTTGGATTCTGTCTGCTCACTCTTTTGAAGCTCTGCATGACGTCATGTCTGAGCGAGCGTGAGAGACAGAGAGAGAGAGAGGACCCTGAGCAGGTATGGAGGGAATAAACAGAGTGTGTGTGTTTCATATGTCAGGAAGCTGCACACAGAAACTCTGATTCACCCTCTGTTCAGTCCCCTCGTGGCTCGCCTCGGACAGATTGCCTCTGAAATAAAACAGATGGTGCTCGTTCGGAGGGAAACAGACTAAAAATGTCTCCGCCCTGACAGCGTGTGCGTGCGTGTGTGGAGGACCCGTGTTTGTGTGTTTGATGAGAGTCGCAGCGTAAATACGAGTTTTCTGAGTGTTCGGAGCGAGTCAGTGGGAAGTTCGAGCGTCTGCTTGGCACGGCCTGCCGAGCGAGTCTACTGCCAGTGTTTTTGAACGGAGACACTCTTCAGGGCGTTGTGACATTAAATGAAGGACTCAGAGCTGTGCTTTCACGCTGCGTCTCCATGTGTTTCACCGTCAGCTCGTCGGACTATTTATGCCGCTTTGGATCAGACTCCTGCTCTCACATCCTGTCAGCACTTTCTGTCAGAAGCTTCAGCGAGAAGGGAAGTTTTAAGATAAAGAAGTCCACTACAGCAGCAGCAGGTTGAGAGGTGTGAAGGGACTCACCATGGCAGCGTACTGAGCTTGAGCCTGAGCCTGAGCCACCTGCTGCTGGTAGACGGGCGCCATCATCATGTGCTGCTGCTGCTGGAGGAGAGCCGCCTGCTGCTGCTGCTGCTGCTGCTGCTGGAGCTGCAGAGACTGCTGCACAGCCTGCTGGTACTGAGCAGGGACACAGAGGGTTAAAACGTCATTAAGTGTGTGTGACCACAGAGGTGCTCAGGACGTTCTAAACCGCCATACTTTTTGATACCACTGGTTTCAAAACAAGATAATCTGTTAGTCTTAAAGCTGTGACTCTTTTTTTTTAACATTAAAGAGGAATAAATCAAACAGAGCGGGAAAAGAGCGTTTAGTTTTGCTGCTCCCACCACATGGGACTTTCTCCAAAATGATTTGAAAATGGCGGAGCTCATTTCGCTTGAAGCCTTTGGCTCGATCTTAAAAGATAAAAAACGTGAGACAATTGGACAGTGCCTGATGTGTTTCTGAATTGTAATCTGTGATCAAGATTCTGCACTTTATCTGTAAATCAATTTGCACATTGTAAATTGTTGTTCTCTCCTAACTCATTGTTTGTAAACTGTCTCTTTAATATGAAATGCTTTTTATGGCGTGTGCTGCTGCCTTCTTGGCCAGGTCACCCTTGTGAAAGAGATCCTGATCTCAATGAGTTATTTACACACAAATGTTTTTGTGCTGTTTACACAATGTGCAGTGTTCCTGCAAGTTTTGGTAACAAACAATCCCCAAGTATTTGGCGCCTAGGACGTCTTTTAATTAAGATGCTTGCTTTCTTTCATAAACTGGACTCAAGGATCTGATTCTGAGTTCTGTCATGGAAGAAACTGAGTCCTAACTTCCACCACCAGAGGGCTCTCAAGACAAACAATAACAAAAAGATGACGACGAGGCCAAGGCAACGTGTGAGTTCAAAGGGCGTACTGAGAGCGAAACCTTGTTGCCTTATTGTGAATTCAGAATCTATAAGCTGCTGTGGTTGACCAAATTGCTTTTGGAAGCTTCATTTATTGCACGGCGGGAACAGGTGACAGGTGTGTGGGAGAGGAAGGAGTCCAGTGACACCTGAACTCTCTACAGCGGTTCCCGACAGACATGTTGCCAATGTTTGCAATGTAGTAAGTGTGCAGGAGTTAAGCTGCAATCTTTGCTAAATAAGAACAAAAAAATGACCTGACACTGGCTGCCTGGGACTTCTATTTTTGTTGCCATGGTGATAAACAGGTATCAACATTGTTTGATTGTAGGGTCATATGGAAGTTTTAGTTGGTGTATTGTTACAGTTTATGAGGCTGACGGTTCTGCAGCACGGGCTAAACCCTCTGATTGGCTCTAAGCGTCTCCTGAGGTGTGTCCTGGAGGTATTCACCTGGAGGTATTGGAGTGCTGAGCGGTTGCTTGTTGTTGTTGTTGTTGTTGTTGTTGCAGTGCTTGTTGATGATGATGATGCTGCTGTAGTTGCTGCAGACGGAGGTCACCAGGCTGCAGCTGCTGCAGGACGCGGTGCTGCTGACTGCTGGGCTGCTGCTGCTGCTGCTGCTGCTGCTGCTGCTGCACGGACGGCTGCCCCGAGCCAGGTGTGTGAGCTGAGAGGACAGGTACGCACAGATACAGAGTTATCAATATCGTTTAAAAAACACAGCATCAAACAAAGAGCCAGGTGAGTGAGCTGAGAGGACAGGTAGAACACATGAAACCACCAGCGTGACACAGCTGATGGATACATTTTAAAGATCTATGTTGTTACCTGTCGCAGTGTTAAAAGGTACCTTTCTGTCCATTACTGACGGGCGCTGAAGGCCCGCCCATCTTCACAGGTGTGACGGTGTTGGCGAGTGGTAAGACGTTACTATTGGCTGCTTTGGGTCTCTGTCTGGGAGCGATCGATGTTTCTGTGGGACCAACAGCCTCTGTGATCCTGCAGAGAGAGAAATTAATGTTTACAGTACCTGTCTGTCTGTCAGTGAACAGTACCTGTCTGTCTGTAAACAGTACCTGTCTGTCAGTAAACAGTACCTGTCTGTCTGTAAACAGTACCTGTCTGTCTGTAAACAGTACCTGTCTGTCTGTAAACAGTACCTGTCTGTCAGTAAACAGTACCTGTCTGTCAGAAAACAGTACCTGTCTCTCAGAAAACAGTACCTGTCTGTCAGACAACAGTACCTGTCTGTCAGTAAACAGTACCTGTCTCTCAGAAAACAGTACCTGTCTCTCAGAGAACAGTACCTGTCTGTCTGTAAACAGTACCTGTCTGTCAGAAAACAGTACCTGTCTCTCAGAAAACAGTACCTGTCTGTCAGTGAACAGTACCTGTCTCTCAGTGAACAGTACCTGTCTGTCAGTAAACAGTACCTGTCTGTCAGAAAACAGTACCTGTCTCTCAGAAAACAGTACCTGTCTCTCAGTGAACAGTACCTGTCTCTCAGAAAACAGTACCTGTCTCTCAGTGAACAGTACCTGTCTCTCTGTGAACAGTACCTGTCTATCTGTGAACAGTACCTGGCTTTTGTCATACTCTTCTTAGCGGCGACCTCGCTCGCTGTTAGCGGTTCAGGGAGAGACGTCGGGATTGGAGAGTTCTGGAAAACAACAGGAAGATTATTTTGATACCACGACAAGAGAAACAGAAGTCTTAAGATAGCTGATATCGGGTCATCGGACCTTTCAAATTCTCAAAAATAGCAGACAACCTCCTGCTCTGTCTTATTTACATGTTTGTCTTATTTACAGCATGCAGGAGTTTGTTTTCAGGTTTTGATGGATTAATTTCTCTCCTACACACCTGACTGATTAAATAGATGTAGTGTTTGTAAAGCTTCAGTCCTTTTCTTTATTATCCATCATTAAAGGGGACATATGAAAAATCCACTTCTACAGTGTTTTTGAACATATATCTGTGTAACCTGAGAGTCTACTGACCCACAACATGTGAAATAAACCCATCCAGTCCTTTGTTTGTGGTCTGCATAAGTCTTACAACACAGAGAAAAATGCTCTGTTTCAAATGTGCTCTCCTTGTGACATCTCAGTAGGATTAAGTAAAAAAAAATCTCCTCCCCTCCCCTGATATCTCCACCCATGGACTCCACCTCCAGCCTAGAACAAAACTTTTGAGCAGGTCCGCCATTTTTATTCTCGCTACAGAGGAGTGATGTCTACAGGGACCAAAACGGAGCGTTCTGAGAGAGCTGGTTTATACAGGGTCACAAACCTCCTCTGGTGCTTGATTCATGTTATATTTTGAACAAAGCACAGCACAGGGGACTGTTTGAAAAGGTGGAGAAGGGGGGATAATATGTCCTCTTTAAATAAACGGACTGTACAGTTTTAAACACACGTGGTATTAAAAAGTATTGAACATTAAAACGACCTCAGTGGTGACTTACAAACAGGTTTGGCACTGGACAGTCTTTTCCTGCTAATCTGAAGGCAAAGTGGGACACCTGGTAGATGTCTGGTCTCTTCTCCTGGTCTGGCTCGAGCATGTATCCTGAAAAGAAGAGACACAGATACTTTAAACAACATGCTGAGTCTAATAAACTGTGGATGGTGTGCATGCTCTGTGTTTGTCCACCAGGTGGAGCTGTTGGCTAGATAATGTAAGACAGGAGGATCCACTGTGGGCGGCATTTGGGGAAGTGAAAGAAGTTTCATCATAGAGGCCGTTAACGACAGACGGACAAACTGGTTCAAACAGGCTGCAGGGTTCACTTCCTGTTCTTTCTGTGAGTTTCTGCCTCAAACTTCTCTAAACCCCCAGGGTCTTCCTCTAGAACAGTAAAAACAGGGTCAAGACAGATGAATTTAACGCCTCTGGTTAAAGCGGAGAATCAAACTGATTCTGGGCTGAAGCCAGGGAAATAAACCTCTGGGTTTAAAACCATACGGTCGATTATTTTAACCTTCGTTTTAAAAAGTACCAAAGCTTCAGATTAGATTTTTAACCCGAAGATGCTGAGAGAGAAACCGTGAGCCGAGTGCGTTCAGACTCTCGTGGCGGGTTGACTGGATCATGAGGAGGAATATTTCATAGAACATATTTTTGGGGCCAATCAAAGAATGTGTCTGATTTGCACCGATACTTTGGCAAGAGTTTCCTAATACGACCAACACAACGTCTAAAGTGTGCAAAAGGTTTCTACGGGTGGCGTGATGCAGACGGGCTGAGAGTGAATGCAGGAAAGATGAGGCAGCGTTTGAAACAAAGTAAACGTAAACTATAAATATCAACTAGGGCCCGACCCATACGGGATTTTAGGTCTGATACCGATATCAGGTAGAAAAGAAACCAGATCCTGAAAAGTCCACTGATAACTTTTGTAGATCTGCAGAGATTAAAACACTTTTACTGTGTTGCAAACAGCAAACACTTGTGGAAAAGATATTTTATGAAGACAAGATGGTCACTCGACTGGAAAATAACTGATGTTTAGAATCAGGTCATAGAGCGCTCCACTTCCCTGTTTAAACACGGTTGCTTTCACATGAAAAGTCCCGAGACCGACTCTTCAAGCGGTGTCAGGCTCGGTACCCGAGTACGTTTGTGTTCACACCGATCAAATGAACCGGACTTTGGGGTCAAGTGTACCCGGATCCGGGCCCGAGTCCCCCATGTGTAACCACCTTAAGTGTGGAGGACTCGTTTGATTTTTACGAGAATTAAATCAAAGTTTAAAGTTTGTGACAAACTAAAAGCTCGTAGACGGCGTCATTAAGATCTGCTCTGCTGATCATCTTTAAACACGTTTCATGTGACCATGTTGGACGTCCGTACTAAACCTCTGCTCGATCTGTCGGCGTGATACCCGGTCGTGGTTTCCTGCTGCTCTGAACGAAACGCTACGAGAATTTGGCGTCAGGTTCTGCCGACGAATCAGCGCAAAGCATGGAGCAAAGTTTTAGCACACGCCCACCAGGAAGCTCTCTCAAATGTCCCGTTTAATGCAAACGGGGCCGGCCAATCAGAGGAGAGTGGGCACGTGGGGAGGGGGGCGCTACCCAGCAGGTCTTCCAGACTGACATCTCCTTTAAATATAAAAACATTATATTCCTGATAAGCCGACACGATGAGAAACTTACGGATCAAACAGTGCAGCTTGAAGGAGAACTTGGAGTTATCCGGGACGATAAACGTCCCGTCACAAATGGCGACTTGACTCTCCCCAAAAGGAAGCGTGAAGAAACACAGCTTGTACAACAAGCAGCCCAGAGCCTGAAGAGAGAGCGAGGGGGAGAGAGGGAGGGGGGAGAGAGAGAGGGAGGGGGGAGAGCACAAAAAAGAGCGTTGAGGAAGTATCACATCAGATAATAGCGTAGCCGCTAGCATGAGTATTCTCCGTCTGAAAGCCGTCCCTGGTTGACCAGAATTTACTCGCCATGAACAGAACAGGAAATCAGGGATAAACTTTGTAGGAGGATATTTTTGGCGTCATTATTACATGGACAGCTGAAGAAAGAGGAGAGAGACATGAACCTGTCCTGTTCACACACACACACACACACACACTCTTACCCAGATATCAGCCTTGGTGGTGATGGCTTTACCTGCGTACAGGTTAATCATCTCAGGTGAGCGATAGGAGAGTGTTGTGTACCTGAGAGACAACAGGGAGAGGTCACTACAGGTCAAAGCTCACCTGTGACAGGTGGACAGGAGTTACCATGGTTACATATACACAAGCTGAGGTCAATCACATCACTGAATGTTTTCCTTTTGTTTTTTTTGGGCCTTTATTTGAGAGACAGGACAGTGGAAAGTAAGAAATCAGGGAGAGAGAGAGAGAGAGAGAGAGAGAGAGAGAGAGAGAGAGAGAGAGAGAGAGAGAGAGGGGAATGACATGCAGGAAAAGAGCCACAGGCTGGATTCAAACCCAGGCCGCCCGCTTGGAGGAGCCTCCGTACATGGGGCGCGCGCACTAACCACTGATGAACGGTGGCCCTGAAGGTCAACTGATGTCATGTAAGGTGACCCTCAAGGTCAACTGATGTCATGTAAGGTGACCCTCAAGGTCAACCGATGTCATGTAAGGTGACCCTCAAGGTCAACCGATGTCATGTAAGGTGACCCTCAAGGTCAACCGATGTCATGTACGGTTGCCCTGGTGGCCTTTTCATCATTCTGTTTGTAGGAGAGGAACTCCTGCACGCCGTCTAACCGGCACACACCTGTTGCAGCGAGCGGCGTGCAGAACATTTAGACTCACTTCTTGATCTCGTCCTCCACGGCGCTCACTCCGTCTTTCTGAGGCTGTAAAACTTTATGCGTCGCACTGCCGAAGTCACAAAGCACGTAATTTCCCTGATCGTTCAACAGGATGTTTTCAACCTGCAGAGAGACAGACAGGTGAGACAGACAGGTAAGACAGACAGGAGAGACAGACAGGTGAGACAGACAGGTAAGACAGTCAGGTGAGAAAGACAGACAGGTAAGACAGTCAGGTGAGACAGACAGACAGGTAAGACAGTCAGGTGAGACAGACATGTGAGACAGACAGACAGGAGAGACAGTCAGGTGAGACAGACAGACAGTCAGGTGAGACAGACAGGTAGGAGAGACAGACAGACAGTCAGGTGAGACAGACAGACAGTCAGGTGAGACAGACAGACAGTCAGGTGAGACAGACAGGTGAGACAGACAGACAGGAGAGACAGACAGACAGACAGGAGAGACAGACAGACAGTCAGGTGAGACAGACAGACAGTCAGGTGAGACAGACAGACAGGAGAGACAGACAGAAGGGATAGTCAGACAGTCAGGTGAGACAGACAGGACAGACAGACAGACAGGACAGACAGACAGACAGACAGGAGAGACAAGACAGATAGGTGAGACAGACAGACAGTCAGGTGAGACAGACAGGTCAGACAGACAGACAGGTGAGACAGACAGACAGACCGACAGACAGACAAAGGAGGAGGAGGAGATACAGGTGTGTCCTCACCTTGAGGTCTCTGTGGATGATGGGCGTCTTGCACTGATGCAGACGAGCGACCGCCTCACAGGTGTCACAGAACATGTGGAGGACCTCGGCCTCGCTGAAGCCCACGTTCAGACGCTGGTTCATCTGTTTCACCACCTGACCCGCTAAACGCCGGAGGGGGGCGGGGTTCAAATTCACCATCAGGTCAACAGTCTTTATCTTATCAGGTGAGCATGTTTGTGTTTATAACCTGTTCACCTGTGCGTACCTTTACAGTACTCCATGAGGATCAGCACCTCCCACACGGTGTCCGACACGGGGCTGATGGTGGAGTCCAGGTAACCCACGATGTTCTTATGACCCGAGAGCTCCTTCTACGGACAGGAAGACACATGGAGGTCATTACAGATACACAGGTAACGTACAGGTGACCTACAGGTAACCTACAGGTAACATACAGGTAACGTACAGGTGACCTACAGGTAACGTACAGGTAACATACAGGTGACCTACAGGTAACATACAGGTAACATACAGGTAACATACAGGTAACATACAGGTAACGTACAGGTGACCTACAGGTAACCTACAGGTGACCTACAGGTAACATACAGGTAACGTACAGGTGACCTACAGGTAACCTACAGGTAACATACAGGTAACATACAGGTAACGTACAGGTGACCTACAGGTAAAGTACAGGTAACCTTAAGGTAACGTACAGGTGACCTACAGGTAACGTACAGGTGACCTACAGGTAAAGTACAGGTAACGTACAGGTAACATACAGGTGACCTATAGGTCGATAGAGGACAGGAGAGATGTGGTTAAATTAAACGCTTCTGAGAAGAGCGTGGCGTGCGCCTCACCATGATGGTGATCTCCCTCTTGTAGACGTTCAGGTCGGGGACGTTGTTCACGTACATCCTCTTTAGAGCGCAGCGGACGCCGCTGTGCGTACGAGCCAGAAACACCACCGAGAACCCTCCTGAAAAAAAAAAACCACAAGACGACACGTTAGCGCCACATCTGCAGAAAACAAATCTTTGTGATTATCTCAGTTTCAACAGAGGCAAGACCTGACCTGTCCGTGTGTGTGTGTGTGTGTGTGTGTGTGTGTGTGTGTGTGTGTGTGTCCTCTGATTGGACAGTAATTCTCTCATTAGCAGGTTTTCTGAGCCGTGTGGATCAAACAGACCGATGAGCAGAACGGACGGATCAACAAAGAGCGGTTTGTTTCTAACTCATCAGCAGGAGGGAGAGAGAGACCAGTCTGTGTCTGAACTGGGAACCAGCAGGAGGGAGAGAGAGACCAGTCTGTGTCTGAACTGGGAACCAGCAGGAGGGAGAGAGAGACCAGTATGTGTCTGAACTGGGAACCAGCAGGAGGGAGAGAGAGACCAGTCTGTGTCTGAACTGGGAACCAGCAGGAGGGAGAGAGAGACCAGTCTGTGTCTGAACTGGGAACCAGCAGGAGGGAGAGAGAGACCAGTCCGTGTCTGAACTGGGAACCAGCAGGAGGGAGAGAGAGACCAGTCTGTGTCTGAACTGGGAACCAGCAGGAGGGAGAGAGAGACCAGTCTGTGTCTGAACTGGGAACCAGCAGGAGGGAGAGAGAGACCAGTCTGTGTCTGAACTGGGAACCAGCAGGAGGGAGAGAGAGACCAGTCCGTGTCTGAACTGGGAACCAGCAGGAGGGAGAGAGAGACCAGTCCGTGTCTGAACTGGGAACCAGCAGGAGGGAGAGAGAGACCAGTCCGTGTCTGAACTGGGAACCAGCAGGAGGGAGAGAGAGACCAGTCTGTGTCTGAACTGGGAACCAGCAGGAGGGAGAGAGAGACCAGTCTGTGTCTGAACTGGGAACCAGCAGGAGGGAGAGAGAGACCAGTCTGTGTCGTTAAGGACAGGAAACAGAAACACGGCGGTGCAGAGCCTTTAAGTGAGACATGAGGAGGAGGTCTAAAGAGGGTCTGAAGAGTTACCCAGCATGCACCACTGTGACTTTAAGCTCGTCAGAAACAAAGACGAGCAGACCAGAAGCCTCAGTCCCAGAGAGAGAGAGAGAGAACGAGAAAGAGAGAGAGGGAGAGAACGAGAGAAAGACAGAGAGAGAGAGAGAGAGCGAGAGAAAACTAGAACGAGAACTAGAGAGAGAGAGAGAGAAAACTAGAAAGAGAACTAGAGAGAGAGAGGGAGACAGAGAGAGGGAGAGAGAGAGAGAGAGAGAGAGAGAGAGAAAACTAGAAAGAGAACTAGAGAGAGAGATGGAGACAGAGAGAGAGAGAGAGAGAGAGAACGAGAACTAGAAAGATAGAGAGAGAGAGAGAGAGAAAACTAGAAAGAGAACTAGAGAGAGAGAGAGAGAACGAGAACTAGAAAGATAGAGAGAGAGAGAGAACGAGAAAGAGTCTGAAAAGTCTGTACTCAGGGGTCTCTGGATTCTCTTTGTCTGACATTTGTAGCATGAGTTGTACTGACCAATCACGTATCAGCATGCCTCTGTGTGGACAGTAGAAGACAGACCAGCTGCCATCGCCTGATTCTTAGTGGAGTCACATCAAGTTTAATATCCTGGAGTCACAAACGGCCTCATCAGGAGGACTCCGCTTAGTGACCATGTTCCTGTTTGAACACTCACAAAACCCCTCAGAGTCGGACGATGTCGGCCTAAAAATAGACGTGAACCCGATCCTAACAAGCTGTCGACAAATTCTGCAGCCGGACTCCAACATGTCTTCTTCTTCTCTGGTCCTTATTACAGTAGGATCCTGACTAAAATCAGAGTAACGCCCCGTCAGCTTCAAACTGAGCTCAGGTGAACAGTCTGACAGAGAAATAAGAGAAACAGCTGGACTACAACTCCCACTACCTCCTGTAGTCCTTACTCTCTCTTTAATGTTTGACTGAAATGGATCAGCATGAGCTGTGTCTGACCACGCCCCCTCTCTGGAAGGGCTCGAGTGTTTCAGGCCTTCTCGCTCCATGTTCTATTGTTTACGGTGAGAAGGCAGACTCAGAGGGCAGAACAAACACCTAGCTGTGGGAGTGTCACCCACCTGGGGGAGGGGCTACTGCCCTTTGTGATGTCATGAAGGGAAAATCTCCAAACGGTTTGAGCACACATTTTCTTAAAAGTGGAGCAGGCAGAAGACGGAGAGGATGGACCCCCTCTCATCATTGGGGTTTGTTGACGACTAGATACACATGTTACTGTCAGAGTAACATGAAGGTGAAGAGTGTTTTATAGAATAAATAATCCACCACGAGACAGGAAGACGTCCTGTAACAGCCCCCTCAGTGTGAGGTCACCCTCTTTTGTTAGAGAGCAGTAGTGGCTCCTCCAGCGTGCTGCGTCCACATCGTCATGTCATGAGAGCGTCAGAGCCACTGAACGGGCTCAATGAAATGCTGGAGTGGACTTTTGTATCAAAGACCTTCTGTCTGTCGTCTCCATGTGACCCTCCAAGGCCACGCCCACTGTTGGTGGTGGTCAGCTCAGATGTGGTGATGATGAGTTGGGAGAATAAAGTTCATGTGCGATTTGGGGGGGGGGGGGGGGAGAAGCCTGAATGAGCTTGCACAAAGACAGCGAGCGCTGCGTCGTACCAGCAGAGCTACAACAACACACAATGTGGCCATTCACCAGCTGTACAGTATGACACACACACACACACACACACACACACACACACACACACACACACACACACACACACACACACACACACACACACACACACACACACACACACACACACACACACACACACACACACACACACACACACACACACACACACCTCATGTCAGAGAGAGAGACTGTCTGCATGAAAACTCTGTTTGAGCTGCTCATGTTTACACGATCAGCAGACACACACACACGATCAGCAGACACACACACAAATACACACACACTATCAGCAGACACACACACATACACACTCGTGTGTTTCTGCTGACGGACAGATACCAGCTGGTTGTGTTTGAGTCAGCATGTTCTCAGAGAAGCTATTTGTTTTTTGCCAGTTTGGATACCACAAGTTTAAAAACAATACGATACGTTATTTCAGAGATCAAAACGAATCAAAACGTCCCGAAGTTTACGCCCCTGTGACGTTTCTCCTTCAATCTGAACATAGAGGAGGCGTAATGAGGGGACACAGTGACCCCCCGTCCCGTCTTCAGAGATAGTAACAGAGGCGTTACAGAGGAGAGACAGATCAGCTGAGCCAGCGGAGGATAACAGCGCTGTGTGTGTGCATGTCTGACTGTGTGTATGTGGAGCTTCCAGAGGCAGAGCACTTTTATTTTTTTTTAAATAATTAAAGTTCATATCTCGTCAACAACAACATGGACAGTTGTTCTTCAGAAAACCCTCCTAAATATCGTCATCATCATCGTTAAGGTCGTAGGTGTTCATAACGAGCTGGGTCATTTTTTACATAAAGGGGACTTCTGATGAATTGTGTTTAACTTAACATATATAAATATTGAGTTCTCGCAGATATTTCTGAAACGTATTCATCACAGACTGTAAATATTAATGTCTGTTCCTGCAGGGGGCGCCGGAGTCCCATCGATGGCGGTCTCCATGCTGGAAATGCTGTCTCAGTCTAACTTTCAGTCAACCTAACGACAGGCTGAGAGCTGGAGCTGAGGCGGGTTTTAAACCTCCTGACAAACCGTTACACCGCGCCCACCTGTCAATCAGGTCAGCTACTCGCCTTATTGTGAATAACTCTTATCCTTCATCAAATCAAAACTGATGAGTCATCAAAACATTCACCCCCCGTACAGTGTGTGTCCATCCAGACATGAGCTAATCACCTATTTGGTTTTTTGAACCAGGCTGTAAACATGTTCATCTCTGCTGTAAAAACAGGCTTTTTAGAATGGGTGTGTATGTGACTTCCTATGCTTCTGCAGCCAGCCTCTAGTGGACACTCCAGGAACTGCACTTCAGCATCGGCTTCATGTTTCAACACCGGAGGTTGCTGCTTTTTGTTCATGCGTCCCCTGTTTGTGCCCGTCTCGGGGTCTTACAATGCAAAGTAGTTCTTAAAAGCAAATTTGCCCGTTTCTATCCCGGCTCTGACCCCGAGTGTGAGAAATATCACGTGGCGAGCTTATCTTGCCCCCAGAAACGAAGTTGCCATTATACCCGTCTGAACACGAGGTGAGGTGACTTCACGTGTGGTTGTGGCGGTAGCCCCCATTCTCCATGGTTGGCTTCTTAATACCGTTGTAGTTCATTTCAGCGGCTACTGCGAATATTAAGAGAGTATGTAGAGATATGGACGCGCTCACAGATGCATCCTGTTCATGTCATGTCATGTCATGTGTTCTCCGACTGATATGTGCAGAGAAACCACAGACTGAAGAGGAGGAAATGACTCACTGAGTCCAGCAGACTTTGTTTTCAGAGGCTTCTTCTGCTGCGTGGGTTTGACTTTTATGAAAGTGGTTCACCTGCTGGAGAACACCTGAATGAACAGACCTGAATGAACAGACCTGAATGAACAGACCTGAATGAGGAGAACAGACCTGAATGAGGAGAACAGACCTGAATGAACAGACCTGAATGAACAGACCTGAATGAGGAGAACAGACCTGAATGAGGAGAACAGACCTGAATGAGGAGAACAGACCTGAATGAACAGACCTGAATGAACAGACCTGAATGAACAGACCTGAATGAACAGACCTGAATGAGGAGAACAGACATGAGGACCCATCGGGTCATGGTAACAGAATTATAAACTAACCCAGCAGCCAGGACGACCGACCGACCGACCGGCCTGACTGACACAGACACAGACACAAATACACACACACCAAACAGTAACTGTACAACCTCGGGATACAACGATGAGCAAAGGTCACGCTGTAACCTCCTGCTCCACAGACACTTCACATGACTATATGAAAACACCCTCCCCTCCTCTCCTCTCTCCTCCCCCCTCCCCCTCCCACCCTCCCTCTCTTTCCCCTCCCCCTCTCTCTCCTTCTCTCCCTCCCTCTCTGACTCAGCAGCTTGTTGTAACTTGTCACGTCTACACTCTGACCAACAAACATCGTATATAGTTTCAGTGTTACAGTCAGCTGGCTGAATATTAACTTATTATTTATTTAAACGTATACCGTGTGTGTTGACTGCACAGTAAATGAATTAAGAATGACCTCTCCTGTGAGCGTGTGTCCTCGTCAGCTTGTCGTGAATCTCTCGGTGTTCTGAGTCGACCTCGAACTAAAAACCCTTTGACAGTTTCATAGTCCGAGTAGTTTTGTTATCTTTAATGTTCAAAGTAAACGAGCCGCACAACACGTCCCCTCATGATGCACAAACATTTCTCTGGGTCACGTTTAATGGCTGCAAAAAT